CCACTGAAACAGACACCATTGCTACAACTGACACAACAATTGTCACATGTCACTACTACATTGAGAGTTCGGGCCACTGAAACAGACACCATTGCTACAACTAATACAACAATTGTCACATGTCACTACTACATTGAGAGTGGGGCCACTGAAACAGACACCATTGCTACAACTAATACAACAATTGTCATATGTCACTACTACATTGAGAGTGGGGCCACTGAAACAGACACCATTGCTACAACTGATACAACAATTGTCACATGTCACTACTACATTGAGAGTGGGGCCACTGAAACAGACACCATTGCTACAACTAATACAACAATTGTCACATGTCACTACTACATTGAGAGTGGGGCCACTGAAACAGACACCATTGCTACAACTGATACAACAATTGTCACATGTCACTACTACATTGAGAGTGGGGCCACTGAAATAGACACCATTGCTACAACTGATACAACAATTGTCATATGTCACAACTACATTGAGAGTGGGGCCACTGAAACAGACACCATTGCTACAACTGATACAACAATTGTCACATGTCACTACTACATTGAGAGTGGGGCCACTGAAACAGACATCATTGCTACAACTAATACAACAATCGTCACATGTCACTACTACATTGAGAGTGGGGCCACTGAAACAGACACCATTGCTACAACTGATACAACAATTGTCACATGTCACTACTACATTGAGAGTGGGGCCACTGAAACAGACACCATTGCTACAACTGATACAACAATTGTCACATGTCACTACTACATTGAGAGTGGGGCCACTGAAACAGACACCATTGCTACAACTAATAGAACAGTTTTCATACGTCGCAAGTATATGTATCGCCGTAATGTAAATAAGAATCAGATGTAAACGTGACCAATGTGTTGTCAAACTTTGTGACAGAATCTTAATGTGAGTAAAACTCCTCCTTTTGAGAACTTAATGGCCATCACTGTCACCACAATATTCCAGGTATATAAATAATGGAGTCTGTACTAGACAATCCAGGGATTGACATCATGAGCATTGATCTCCGCAGTTGGGGCTGTCCATGTAAATATTATCAACACCTTCACGAAGAAGAATTCTGTGTCACTTGTGTGATTGATGTCGGGTTAGAATCATACGAAGAGGCGTCAAGAAGAATGTTCTTCATATTGTACAAGTGTACAAGTGTAGGATGCTTCACAACCTAAGTCGGAGTCATCCCTACAATAATATATTATAGGGGTTGTTTTCCATCAATTGGATCTACTTCGCAAACTTTCAGTAGGTCTCAAATGATGGCTGGGGTAATGGTGCTACGTAAGTTCAGTTAACGTTCACGACAGAACGAATGTTAAACATGACAGATTCTTCTTTGTTGTCTTTAAAACAAAGTTTTAACCATGCCCCCCATCAACCATGTCGCCGAGTCTGACCACCCGATCCATTTAAGTCAGCACCTACGACCAGTGTAGGTTCTGTTCTGAAATCACCACTGGGACGGACACATTGGAAAAGGCTCCACGGTGGGATGCCAAGAGCAGAGAACATCCTGAGACTCGGTTCTGTTTTTCACTGTGAATGTTTTCAGGGTGGTGTATTTATGACATATTACATTTAGAAAGAGAGATAGTTCATGTTAACACATGTTCCGTTCGACTGTTACCAGAAGAACAACAATGGATATTATTCTTACGTTGATTAGTATTTATCAATTATGCCAGTTGGAAATGCTGGTCCAGCTAATGAAAATACATACCGTGTGCATATTCATAATGCGCCAACTCCACACCCTAAATCATGCTCAAAACCCATGTTTGGAAGTCAGGAGGAAGTTAATACCTAGAGTTGAGGTGAAATTGGGTTCAACGCCGCGTAAATCGAATTTTGTGTGTGGCATACGTGCGTGAGTAGAAGATTTTCTTGGTATCCTATCTTCATCCATTTCAATCATTTTTAGCCAATACTTTACAGAACGACACATAGCATTTATATATAGTTGGTATCGATCGACCGCATTCCCCATACACAATAACATTTGGTGTTTGCAAACCAACATAAAGAAACCTCTTACAAGACATTATATGCACTTGTTCTAAAAAAATTTTCAAATCTGTCTACACCCCATATTTCCGCACCATATAAAAGAATAGGTTGAATCGGAGTACCGAATATTTTTAAAAAAAATGAAGTGTCAACAAAACTAATCTTCAGTAGATTGCGAACTGTATTTCCATTAAAGCTCGTTAACCCCTTGATGCTAGATCTGAAACACACCGGTTCATCTTTGAAGTATATGAGAATACAAACCCAAGATATCTATAGGATTTGGCGGTTGAAACACGTTTGCCTTTATAGAACCATTTCTCATTAACAGATAACCGAACAGATAAATACAACAACACTCGTTTTATCTAAATTTACCGTTAATCCATGTGAATCTGCAAACTTTTCAAGAATATTAAGTTGGTTCTGTAAACCAGTTACTGTGTCAGAGACAAGAATAACATCATCGTCAAACAATAATAATGTTTCAAACAAGTCTGGAAATAATTGTAAACCGTGTTTCCCATGAGATGAAACATCATTTGACAGTCCATTGATGAAAAAGGAAAATAATAGAGGGCTTAATATACGGCCTTGCTTAACTCCGTTAGGACTATCAAAATATTCTGTATAAATGTTATCATAATATTTCACACACGCTTTCACGGAGGCATAGATTCCCTTAAGTGCTCTCATCTTTCCACCCAAGCCTACATCGTGCAGACACTCCCATAGCTTAAGGTGGTTTACTGAATCAAACGCTTTTTTATAATCCACAAAAGCAACGTATAATTTCGCTTTTCTTTTTTAACAATTGCATTCAACGAGAATATGTGATCAGCAGGAGAATATCCCTGTCTAAAGCCTGATTGTGTCTCGGGTAATTTACTTCTTATATTAACCCAGTTTGTAAGTCTAGAGTTTAAGACACTTGTGTAAACCTTACAAATTGTACAAAAAAGAGATATCCCTCTAAAGTTATCTGGATTATTTTTGTTACCTTTCTTGTGTAGTGGAAGGATGTTAGCTTTCGTCCAGTTCTCAGGAAATAATCCAGAATCAAATAACTTATTGAACAAATTTTATAGGAAAGGAGTAATTTCATTTTCACAACATTTTAACATTTCAATGACCACGTGATCAACACCAGGGGATTTGCCATTTCTTGAACGATTTATAGCCTTGTGGATTTCTGAGTCGGTAATGGGCGACTCCAAAATACCTGGTCAATATCATCAAGTATAAAATCTTCATGATATTGGTATTCGACTTCAGCATGTAATACATCTGTACACTGAAAAACCTTTGTAAAATAATCAAACCAGCACTCTTTACTTATGTTATTCTTTGTTTCCCTGCGACCTGATATACTCCGTAACTCTTTCCAAAATGTGGTTGAATCAGATAGAGATAGCTTTAGTTTTGTTCGTGTCATAAATTGAAAGTTTGATTTTGCTGTTCTGCAAACACGTTTATAATTGTTTCTCATTTTACAAAAGATTAACTTATTTTCGTTAGATTTCTTCTTTGAATTTCCTCATGTATCGCCTTGCTTCCCGTTTTGCTCGTCTGCATTCAATGTTATAAAACCCTGTATTTCAGGGTGAACCTAAGGTACCTTCATACATTCAGCGGCACTAAGACCAACATTAAGAAAGTTTTCGAGGGCAAGATTAAAATCAAAAGTTAAAAGATCAATAAGCTCGTTAAAAGACAGATTTGTTATACTTCCTATAAACACATCACGCTCACGAGGGTTCCATTTATAGCTGTTTGTTTTGGTGGAAAGATAATCATCCCTTGTAGATACTTTAGGGAGAAATATGTCCAAATGTAGACATACTGGCACATGTTTTAACTCAACTCTTGTATCTACAAACACATCCTCCCGAGGCAAGAGAGTTAACTGACTTAGTCCAGTTTCCACCCTTGCCGAACTTGGCTGGAATTCCTGGGTTCGATCGTAGCGCCACTATTACGAGTTATGTCCCTTCTATACCTCTTCTATGGACCAATCAGATTCCACCTCTCGTATCACTTGCATTTGCTTCAAACAAAACGGTGGCACCCAGTCAAGACGATATGATCGATAATCAAGATCTATATTGTGATAAAACGAGTCTTACATAGTGAAGTGCATCAAATCACGTGAGCTCCTGGATTAAAAACATGAAAAGATTTAGAGAATATCTGTTGACAACAAGTTAGCGGTGCACATGCTTTGCAAATCCTGCAGTCGACCGAAATCTGCATGACAATTAACGAACCGGATTTCAATTTCGTAGCGCGATTTTGATTGGACTATGCATAGACTCGTTAGTCCAGCCAAAATGTAACTCCATAATACCAGCCTAGTTCGGCAAGGGTGGAAACTGGACTTTTATAGTCAGTTCACATGGATTGACAACAATTGTGAACATTAACTGAACCTATAAAATAATCGATTACACTACATCCTTGATCTGCTATGTAAGTAAAACTACCCTGATGTCATAGTGTAGGCAATTGTTTGTTTTGTTTGTTTGTTGTTTAACGCTGCACTCAGCAATATTCCAACTGTATGACGACTGTCTGTACATAATCGAGTCAGGACCAGACAATCCAGTGATTGACATCACGAGCATCGATCCACGCAATTGTGACACGATGACATGCATCATGCATCGGCGAGTCTGACCACCCGATCCAGATCCCGTTAGTCGCCTCTTACGACAAGCATGGTTTGCTGAAGACCTATTCTACCCCGGATTTTCACTGGGGGAGACAAGCATGGGTTGCTGAAGGCCTATTCTACCCCGGATCTTCACAGATTTCAATCTGTAATGACACAAGTAGGTTCACTGACATGTTCCGTGTTGTGCCAAGTATATTATACTTATAAAAGGCAAGAAGCTATTCCTTAAATTTATTTGCACAGATATCCAAAAGAAAGAAAGAAGTTATTTCATAAGTACTGTCATACGTCTTCACTTTATTTAAACAATCACTAAAATCATAGAACAGAGTTGAGATTATTGTCACATTGGCAGGCAGCAGATAGTGTGACTAATCAACTGTAACATACCTCTAGGTATATAGTAAACTCAACCAGGCTAATAGGTAATAGATAAAAATAGCATTTTGACAGCTGAACATATACTGATGGAAGAAGTAATGGAACAAGAAGGTGAGTGAGTTTGTTTTATCACCCCTGTGAACAATATAACTTTCTGTCAGCATGATGTGGGAGGCTAGGCAAAAGTGATGCAGGCCTTAGACATTGCTGAAACGTAGCAGCAGTATTGTGCTGACAAACTTAGAAACATAATAACCGTGGCAACTGTAAAGGAAGAACCCTACAGATAAGCATTATTATGTCAAATAGCAGGATATTTTTAGTGAACACACTACATGCACAGACAGTACTTCCATGTTAGTAGCCTAGTGGTTAAAGCGTTCGCTTGTCACACTGAAAACCCCCAGTTGATTCCCGACATGGGTACAATGTGTGAAGCCCATTTCTGGTGTCCCCCACCGTGATATTGCTGGAATATTGCTAAAAGTGGCGTAAAGTCAAACTCGCTTGCTACTTCCATGTTTGGCAAAGTAGAGAAGATACTAAATCCTAGCTTCACATAAACCTTGTATTGACCACAGCGTGTATATACAACTGCAATATTACCAGGCATTCCCTTACTTTTTTCCATCAGTATATGCTATGATTTCTTTTGAACATTTTTTTTGTTCTAAAGCACTGTGCATGTTGTGATGAGAAAATCAGCAGTTAAAGTGATGTAAAAGAATAAAAGCCTATATTCCTTGGAATTAAGTGTACAATATGTTTACAATGCAAATATCTGCAGTATTTAACATATATTACAGTAAATCAACATGTCTGTATACAAGGGTAGTCATACATGTACTTCTCTCTACTGGGGTAAACACATGGAACTTGTCACACCTTTACAACCAGAGTGCTGCTGACAAAGACATTAATTTTCAGATTTACCATTGTTCTAAAGTATTCAATGCCAAGAAACTTGAAGCATGATGGTTTCAAATGGATATCCTGCCATGTCAAAACTTGTGATGAAGAGAAGTAGTCATTAACTGTTAAAAAGTAGTGATTTCGGGCTTTGAATCAGAGTTACATGTTTCAACAGTTCAGATTGCATCACACTGACAATACAAAAAAAATACACAAATAAAATATATGCTCAATCATTGACACAGAATAATATAGATATTATATTACAAACACTAAAATGTTGCACTTGTGAAAACAGTATGTCTGCTTCTTCAGTTTGCTCCAAACATGTCATGCATTGTTGACCCACTATCAGTGAGTGAGTGAGTTGCAACACTGTTTTCAACAGTTACATCCCAGTGGATCAGTCTAATGAGGGGGACATGTCCACAGTGGCGCAGGTGTTACACACTTACACATGTCAGCGAAGGGCACATGGGTGTGTATCAGGGTTAGGGACAATCTGGGATTCAAACCCAGCAGAGCATGGTACAACTCCGCACAGCCACCTGTAGTCCCCACATGGCTTCCCATGTTCCTTACTCAGTAAAAGTAATAGTTTCCAGACATATCAGTCACCACATGGCTTTCCGTGTCCCTTACTCAGTATAAGTAATAGTTTCCAGACATATCAGTCACCACATGGCTTCCCATGTTCCTTACTCAGTATAAGCAATAGTTTCCAGACTTATCAGTCACCACATGGCTTCCCATGTTCCTTACTCAGTATAAGTAATAGTTTCCAGACTTATCAGTCACCACAACTACACTATTCCTTCGTAGGTCCCACTTGGAATATTGAACAGGCAATAAATATCTGTTCTCCCAACAGATGCCCTCCCCTTAAATGGATGTTTATCATCAATAACATAGTTTGAGGGTTTACTGGTCAACATTTGGACTCCCCTGAGAAAAACATTAAGTATTGAAAAAGACATATTCCTGTATTACATGGGCAGCTGAACAGAAGACACCATGTTTTGAAACAGGAAGTGGGGCAAGCAAGCTGCATTCAATGGCCCTCCACTACATGCTCGTACAACAACCATAAAATAGTTTATAGATATTTCAAAATGTGTCACTTGTACTTCATGCATGATATATTATGGAATGAACTGTGGACATGTGTAACAGTACAATATCCAGGGTGCCATCAGGTGACACAGTATAACAGGTAACACCAGCACTGGGCTCCGGGTCACTTTCCTGCAACACTAACTACACTGGTTTTAGCCTATCCCTGATGTGTATTAAATCTGTTTTCTAAGCACAGCTATGGGGAACTACATCTGTATGTCAACAGGTGCTTCATTATGCAATGTGGTTTATAAAGTAAATACTGTTTGACTAGCAGTAATTAGCAAGAAGTAAGACTTACAAACATATTCATACAAACCACTTCCAACTGACATTCCTTTTCTTGGGGTTGCTGCTACTCTGGTCATCAACAAACCTTCAATCTAAACTGCAAAGTTATCTAAGTCTTTTGAGTAAGTGAGTGAGTAAGTATGGTTTTATGTCGCTCTTAGAAATATTCCTGCAATATCACAGCGGGGGACACCAGAAATGGGTTTCACACATTGTACCCATGTGGGAAAATCGAACCCAGGTCTTCGGCGTGATGAGCAAATGCTTTAACCACTAGGCTATCCCACCGCCCCAAGTCTTTTGACAAATGGCTTATAGGTATTAAATTACTACACAAACATGACTTAAGACTTCTAAAATAATCAAGACATTTTTTAAGTGAAGACTAACATGACTTTTTTGGAGTGACCTCGAATGTGTCAAACAGTTGCAAGCGTACGTTTGATCTTGTACACATCATTTACTCACCAGTATTACACACACAGCACGAGGCCAGAACAAGGGTTTCCTTGTTTCACGGAATGGCCTGTCTAATTAACTTTAAAACACCCTGAACAAATGAAATGAAAACTAATGTATTTGGCTGAACAGATATTTTGTGCTTAAATTCAATTCACCCCTGGCATCATTCTCTGGACATAAAAACAAATTGTATTTGTACACGCAATTAATTTAATAATATTTGGGCATAAATAAAAGAGTTCTGCTTAAACAACCACTGGCTACTGACCTTGATGTTGCACCATCCTGTTCAGAATATTTATTATACAATGAGTTGGTCTTATCAGCAAGATAAAGTCAATGGATAAAAACCGTATCGGTAAGGGTCATATACGGATAAATATGCAGATACTAAAACTTACGTAGGTACTACTTTCAGTGTTTCCCAGCATCCACCTCCCTTGTCTATCGGTCAGAATTAACCATAAGGATCTGGATGAATTATTTTGATAACAAATGGACATTCTATAATAAAACATAAAGTTCGTTTTCATTTTGTCTTTTTTAGGGAGGGTCATGTAAATATAACAAACATTAGGAGAGTGAAATTGTTTTCATTAGTGAAACAAAAAAAGACCCCCTCCCTACCCCTTCGCAATAACAGACCAAGCCTAACTATTTTTCTTGTAACTGGTCCATTTAGAAAGTACCAAAGACTTTGTTAATATTTGTTGTTCATAAACTAGACACTGCCTTTAGACATGATATGTTCAGCTCACATAGGCGAGTAGCCATTAATCATTACCAACAAAAATGTTGATGCTGCTATAGTATATAAAAGTATCTAAAATATGAAATTAAAATATGTAACTAAAGATAAAATCTCTGCAAATACGGTAACTGTAATATGCCTATGAAGAGATCTTGATCTTTCTAAATCATCATCACTCTAATCCAACACTCTCGTCATCTAGCAACAATGGAATTCTAGCAGCAATAGGTTTATGCAATGTTAGACATCTTGCTGAAACAAAAATATTGTTGTATGCAAAGATGGAATTCATCTTGACATCTCTAAGTTGCATTAAGCCCTTTAGGTCTGGAAGCCTAACGGCAGTGTTTGACAATGACCTCTTATTGGTAACAAAAATAAAATCCTTTATCATGGAAAGTTGACGAAATAAAATCTGTCTTGTATCCAATTGTCAATCCTTCAAATTTAAGTCAAACAAGGGTAGACAACTCTAAATACACTTCAGTTGTTTGGTGGATAATATATCATAATTGGCAATGAAAGAAAGGGATGTTGTTAAGCTGATTATGCTCAAACAATATAGAAACAAACAGTTTTCTTTTTCAGCTTAGCAACAGATGAAGAGAATGAAACACATCACGAAGCTGGTAACAGAGTTACTACCCCTGGAAATCATCTGTCATCAAATGAATTCACTTTCCAGGACATCTGCCAGGTGGGTGGTATCTTCCAGCACAAGAGTCTTTGATTTGAGAATCATACACCAGTTAGTGCTTCCATGACACCCCTCACAAGAATCCTCCAAGTAAAGTTTGAAACATATCACCATACAGTTTAACGGAGGTCCACATTCAAGGCCTGCTACTGCGCCCACAGCAGGCTACATCATACCAGGCTTGAACTTTGGATGAAGCTGGAATGGCGTTGCTAAAGACACTTTGTACCCAGGTAAATTGGCGTCATAGTAGTGGTGCATTAGTTCTTCTAAGGTTTCAAAGTAGATGTCTTTCTTGCTGTTTAGAAAGTAGTAGCTGCTCTGAAATTAATGAAACATGAAACATGTAGTCTTGTGATGTGTGAGTGAGTGAGTGAGTAAGTATGGCTTTACACCGCTTTCAGCAAAATATTCCAGCAATATCAAGGCGGGGACACCAGAAATGGGCTTCACACATTGTACCTATGTGGGAAATCGAACCCAGGCCTTTGGGATGACATGCAAACGTATTAACCACTAGCCTAACCCACCACCCCCTCATGATTTGCAAGGCAATAATGTTGTGGAAAACCAAACCAAACCTGGTAACAGTATTAGATTCTATTAGGCCACAATAATTAATCACATGTTTTTCATTGAAAATTTTAGCAAACATTTTCTGCATAAATACTGACGATGAAAATATTCACAAATATGAAACAAGTTCCTAAATTTCCACCATGTTTCTAAATCTGCAGAATGAACATACTATTGTGCATTGTTGCAATACAAAATACAACATATAAATTTATTTTAGACAAAGTTATAACTCTAAATCTTACACACCTTCTATGTAGAATAATTTTTTAATGCCATTCAATATTTCCTATTCATTTACACACATAAAAGCTCACTGCAATTCACAAAGTAAGACCTGTTTTATTACAACATAGATCTTGATTATCAATTAAATCATCTTCACTGGGTGACGCCATTTTATTTGAAGCAAATGCAAATGATATGAGAGGTGGAATCTGATTGGTCTATAGGCAGGACAAAGAAGGGACATCACTGGTAATAGCCACTGGTGCCACTACGATCGAGCCTGAAATTCCAGCCTAGTTTGGCAAGGGTGGAAACTGGACTGTTAGTTACTTCCCTTGACTTGAGAAGATGCAGTCTGCCAACACCAGAGAAGATGTCCACAAAGCCAATGATGCAATTATTGCAGTTGCAGTTGCAAATTCATGGGTCAAGTGATATCTGAGGAGATGATTTTTACAGATGCCGACAGCCAGTAGCGACATTCAATCTTTTCAAGGCATTTGTGAATATTAATTTTCAGCGGATGTGATTCACATTCTTCCTCCAACAATAAATCTAGAAATCTACCCATTTCACTTTGATCAAAGATCACTCAGATAATCACAAACAGATACTGATAATAAACGATCGGTAACTTGACCAGTTGATGTGTGCAATCCAACCAATCATCAGGGTTCCTTACGACTAAGTTTTATATTTAGCATAAGTATGGTTACAAAATAAGCCAAAGAAATGTCAAGAGTGTTTATTCCAGCTGGTTTATTCTGACGCAACATCATCTCCCCTAATTTCAATAAAATAAAGTGTTTTTCCCTGTCTGTGGTAGTATATTGATAATTTGACATTCAAAGAATGTTCGGGTCATTCCAGCTCTAAGAAACGTACACCCTATTTGGAAGTGCTGAATGTGTCTCATTGTTGACATTTCAGACCTCAACGTGTATTTACTACATTGGTTGACTATTACTGTTGTATGCAAATTAGATCGCCAAACTGGGACACTAGCAAACTATTAGCCATATTGTGTGTAAAATAATCACATGATATATTCTTGCAAAATTTGACACAGTACAATGTGTTGATAGTTCTCTTCTAGGCCGACGAGACACAATGAGACACGATGTCAGCCAAAAGGTAAATGAACAAAAGTCTTATTTATTACTTTGAAACCCAATGATAAACCCTGACCGTGTAATTTGTTATTTCAACAATGAAATCAACCAATCACACATTGCATTGTTTCTGGAGATGGAACTTCCTGGTCATATTTTGTTTTTATTTTCCGAGAGTTCAATAGGGTAACTTTGAGGTATACTGATGCTTTAACATACTTTCTGATAATCTGCTAACCAAAAATCCATATACGTTTTTAAATTCTGTAGGAATAAACATGCTAAGAACATGAAGAGAACAGTTCATTTCAGGAAGTGATAAGTATTCAACTGATTATTCATTTCAAGTTCAACCCTTCAGGCACCTGTTAAGACTATCCAAATTTTTCTTTACAGTTTACATTGTTAAATCGTTCATCATATGGATTTAATCACCAGTTAATAACTAGACAAAAGGTCCATCTGAGTCAAATGATCATAGGGGCTGCTAATCCAGGTGCCTCACGGACAGACTGGGAGGTACCACATGCATGTATGCGAACTGACTTAATCAGAAAACTTACTGATTGATTTCTGTTATTGTAAACTTTCACCATTTTCTTTATGTTTAGATACCACATAATGAGTGAGGCCATCAGCTTTAAAGTGTATCTCAGTAAGCTTTAAAGTGTATCTCAGTAAGCTTTAAAGTGTGTCTCAATAAGCTTAAAAGTGTATCTCAGTAAGGTTTAAAGTGTACCTCAATAAGCTATAAAGTTTAAGCGACATTAACATGTAATGACACGAGCATGAAGAATATACAATCAAAAAAGGTTTGCAAAATTAACTAATACTTAAACTTTAACAAAACTTAAATAAACACAAGAACCAAACCTACCTTGTATTCTATCTTAAATTTTCTTGGCATATCACCCGCAAAAACAACCAAGACTTTCTGAAATGAGAACGCTCACAATCAGTACAAACAATTACTGAACATACCATGATATACTGAAAACACTACACATTAGGGCTGGGACGAGTCCAAGTCTACTACCCACAAACAGTACAAACAGTTACTGAACATACCATGATACACTGAAAACACTACACATTAGGGCTGGGACGAGTCCAAGTCTACTACCCACAAACAGTACAAACAGTTACTGAACATACCATGATACACTGAAAACACTACACATTAGGGCTGGGACGAGTCCAAGTCTACTACCCACAAACAGTACAAACAGTTACTGAACATACCATGATACACTGAAAACACTACACATTAGGGCTGGGACGAGTCCAAGTCTACTACCCACAAACAGTACAAACAGTTACTGAACATACCATGATACACTGAAAACACTACACATTAGGGCTGGGACGAGTCCAAGTCTACTACCCACAAACAGTACAAACAGTTACTGAACATACCATGATACACTGAAAACACTACACATTAGGGCTGGGACGAGTCCAAGTCTACTACCCACAAACAGTACAAACAGTTACTGAACATACCATGATACACTGAAAACACTACACATTAGGGCTGGGACGAGTCCAAGTCCACTACCCAGGGACCCATCCCCCTATTACCCAACCCTACCTGAGTACCAGCTGTAGGTCCCAAGCGATAGGTCCAAATGTCTGATAGGGAATTGTTTGAACGTAGCCCTGGCAAAATACTCGTATAAAACTATCTTGTCATGCATGCATTGAAGTTGACTGAAGTTTTATCTTTATTCAAACATATAAAGTCAGAAGGAATGGGTACACAGCCAGAAAGAAATTCGAACATTAGGCACTTATAGTGTAACCATAAAGTTCCAGATAATTTGTGCCATTAAACAATATATCACATGCCAAACCACAGGTCCCGGGAGTCCTGTGGGTACCCAGGTCCTACTCAGTACCCACCCGATCCAAGTACCCGAGTACCCAAGTTACCCATCTCAGCCCTACTACACATCCTACTCTTCATAATCTTATTGACTTCGAATTGCTTTATGAAGCAACATGACTACCCACTGTTTTGTCAGAGTGAGTGAGTTGGGCCCGCTTAACATGAGTTAGTGAGTGATTAGGTTGGGTTTAACACCGCTTTAAACAGAACATCACAGCTTGTCACCTTAATATGGGTGGTTGAGTGAGTGAGTGGTTAAGTGGTTTAGTGGTTAAGTGATTGTTTGAGTAAGTAAGTAAGAGAGTGGTTTAGTGGTTTAGTGGTTAAGTGATTGGTTGAGGGAGTAAGTGAGAGAGCGAGTGAGCAGTTTAGTGGTTAAGTGAGTTAGTGATTGGGTGAGTGAGTGAGTGAGTAAGTTAGTGGTTTAGTGGTTGAGTGAGAAAGTGAGTGGGCGAGTGAGTGGTTTAGTGGTTGAGTGATTGGTTGAGGGAGAAAGCGAGTGGGCGAGTGAGTGGTTTAGTGGTGGAGTGATTGGTTGAGTGAGTGAGTTAGTAGTTCAGTGGTTGAGTGATTGATTGAGTGAGTGAGTAAGAGGTTTAGTGATTGGTTGAGTGATTGGTTGAGTGATTGAGTGATTAAGTGGTTAAGTGATTGGTTGAGTGAGTGAGTAAGTGGTTCAGTGATTAACTAATTGGTTGAGTGAGTGAATGAATAAGTGGTTTAGTGATTGATTGAGTGATTGAGCGATTGGTTGAGTGAGTGAGTGAGTGAGTGAGTGAGTGAGTGAGTGAGTGAGTGAGTGAGTGAGTGAGTGAGTGAGTGAGTGAGTGGGTGGGTGGATGGGTGAGTGGGTGGGTAAGTGAGTGAGTGAGTGAGTGGTTTAGTGAGTGGTTGAGGGAGAAATTGAGTGGGCGAATAAGTGGTTTAGTGGTTAAGTGAGTGAGTGAGTGAGTAAGTTGTTCAATATTTGAGTGATTTGTTGAGGAAGAAAGTGAGTGAGTGGTTTAGTGGTTGAGTGATTGGTTAAGTGAGTGAGTGAGTAAGTGGCTTAGTGGATGATTGATTGTTTGAGTGAGTGGTTTAGTGGTTAAGCGATTGGTTGAGTGAGTAAGTGAGTGGTTTAGTGGTTGAGTGTGTGAGTGTTGAGGGGTCAACGAAGTGAGAGTCTGTCTCCTCACTATGTCCTACGTATTTTTCCACGAGTCCTGTGAGAGATAATAGGCAACTGCAAAAACTAACAGACTTGGCATGTTCAAGTAAACTATGTCAATAATACAGTTTTGAGATGCATGTGTAGTGTGTCTGTTCATGTCTGGTGTTGTGTGACAAATACCATCGGGTGTAGAGCAGATTGCTGACGACATCCCCATTCCAATGACCAGCTGATGCGAAAAAAAACTCCCATCCCTCCCGTCATTAAACACTGTTTGATGATGGTGTATTGTCATTAAATGGCTGATCACTTCACGGGTGAGTAATAAAAAGACTTACCCCTCCGTCACCTCCATCCCGGACTAAATATACTCCATCTTCTCCTAATTGTCGGATTATTCTGAGAATAGAAGATATGTTTCTTTTGTTCCAGGGCTAAAGATTACAACCATCATGTCAGAGCCATGTCATTGTCAAGGCATAATAGTTAAACATTTGTCAAGTTGATTTCAGCAGACCATACAGTTTTTATATTTTAAATATTAAGGAATATTTTGATAAAACTATTTGACTATCAAAAATATTTCTAATATAAACAGTATTTGTATATGTTACAACAGCTTTGTTACCAACTGAGAGGTAACAAGAAGAAGATGAATAATGAAACATAAGGTAAATAGATAAATATTTAAAATTCAGGTAAATAGGCTTTGGTTGTGACAACACAGATATGACGCAAACGCCAAAGTTGTTTCATGCCACGGCCGGCAATATTCCAATATTCCAATACCACTCTCAATGCCTGTTAAACTGGGAGCACATTGCTGGGCAGAGTAGGTCGTTAGTGACACCTGCTTGTTGAAAGAGATGATGAAATGGGAACTGGGCGTCACTGTGTCCTGACAGCATAGGTCACAGTGATTTCATTTAAACTTATTACTGACTGCAGAATCATACAACAATTGGTCACTAATTATAAACTATGGATTAAAAACAATTGTGAAAAAGAAATTAAAGAGAATAGTCACATACTCGCTAGCTTTGTCTTTTTCTGCACCCATGAAGTGAATGGCTGCCCAGTACTTCTCTGGGTCAATGTCTTCCTCTTCTTCCTCCTCATCTTCTATTGGCTGAAACAAAGTGCACAACAAGATCATTACATCAGTGACACAGTAATGACATGCAACTACCTGTTTGTATGAGGAGAGTTAAAGACTAGTTCAAAAGTTGGATAAAAATTATAATTCTCTAAGTTTAGGGGTGGGGGGTTATTGGCCCTGCAAGTTTTCCATGCAACACAATCAACTAACCTGATTTCTCAATGTTTTATATTGTAACTAAACTGGGCATAAATTCTGATCCTATTTTTATTCATATGGAGTTGTTTGTAAATACATCCAGTTTATCCATCAGGGAGGGTTTTGCTGTTGCTGGCACAAGTGTTAAACCCTTGCAGTGTGCAAGGCTAATTAAAAACATTCTTGGTTCTCATATACCGCCGCATCATCACAAAGTATGCCGCACTTTTAGTTTTTATTTCCATTTTTCCAAAAAGATATTCCTTAAATATTCTGTGTCTGGAACACACACAACCCCCAGAGTGAAATGCTACAATACTTAAAAACAACACAATCCAATATAGTGTGCAGTTACTTCCCTTAACTAATGTACTGCGCATCTCGTGTTATATGTTATGGTCATAACATGTTATGGTCATGGCGGTAATATTTGTGTGCTTGTTTTGCCATTTGCAAATTTGTCAATGAAAACATTAATTTTTTTACAAAACATTTCTAGATATGATTTACAAATTCAATGGTTTGTGTACTGTATGGTGGACAATGTTTCATACGCAGAGAATAATATTACATCTGTATTTGTCTTGTAGAATAGGCCAGAAATGGCAAAAAGCTGTTTGCATATTTTCTCCCTGATCTATGGGTGTCTTAGTTAAAAAAACAATTCATGTCATGGCCAATATCATAACTGAAAAGAAAATTGATAGGAAACCGGAAGATTATGTATCTCTAACGACTAATGTTTGTTCAAAGGCGAGTTCACGGTGAGTTGATATGATTTGCCATTCAGATCATACACGATTTTGCCAAATTTGAAATTGAAAGTAAATTGAATGAAATCTTGGAGAAAAGTAATATAATGGATTGCAACGCAAGTCCAGATACACAATGTACAGTTTTATAGCCAGACAGTGTTAAAATAAGAGTAACTTGCATACTTCCGTTCAGATTTGTTGACATGCTTATTGGTGTTGTGTGCTCACAATAACGTTTTCAGATTGTGAAATATTCGTGTATTATCCACTTACTGGTATTCCAGTATTTTATTCATCAAGGAATACATTTATGGAGGGAGCCCCCTTCCCAGGTTGATTGTACACAACTGTTTATTTGGTTACACTATATTTTTAAAAGCCAAAGTCAGTCGCCAAACGTTCTGAAAAAGCAGGGTAAACACAAGAATGCAGGACAAAAAAGGCCGCCTCACTCAGGGGAGGTTTACTCCATCTGTTCATAAGAAATGGTGAATAATATACATAAAAATCTTTATTCAGACAAAAAATAACAATAAATTTTCTTTTAGTATTGTGTTGCAATTGTAGTTCTGTGATGGTGTGACCCACAAGTTTTTCATTAATAGCAGTACTTAACCGAAAGTTACAAATTATAATTTATTTTTATTCAACCACTAACATTGATTCTTACACCAAAGATTTGATAAAAACAAAAGGCCTAACTACCCTAGACCCACTGCTTTGTTGGGGAAGTGACATCACCTTGCCTTGACCTGTAATTACCTGGAGCTGATCTACACCACCCTGCCTTGACACATGACGTCACTTTATGCCCTTGACCCCGGGGGGAGACATTTAATTACATACGGCTGGTCTACTACGGACATTGCCCTTCCTTGACACATGACGTCACTAAATGCTCTGGACCCAACATTATAATTACCTATGGCTGGTCTTCTGAGGACTTCACCTTAACTTGACCCATGACGTCACCCCCTTAATGCCCTGGACCCAACGTTATAATTACCTACAGCTGATCTTCTATGGACGGCACTCCCTTAATGCCCTGGACCCCACATTATAATTACCTACAGCTGGTCTTCTACGGACATCACTCCCTTAATGCCCTGGACCCAACATTATAATTACCTATGGCTGGTCTACTACGGACATTGCCCTTCCTTGACCCATGGGGTCACTCCCTTAATGCCCTGGACCCCACATGAAAATTACCTACGGCTGGTCTTCTGTGGACTTCAGCTTAACTTGACTCTTGACGTCACCCCCTTAATGCCCTGGACCCAACGTTATAATTACCTACAGCTGATCTTCTACGGACGGCACTCCCTTAATGCCCTGGACCCCACATTATAATTACCTACAGCTGGTCTTCTACGAACATCACTCCCTTAATGCCCTGGACCCAACATTATAATTACCTATGGCTGGTCTACTACGGACATTGCCCTTCCTTGACCCATGGGGTCACTCCCTTAATGCCCTGGACCCCACATGAAAATTACCTACGGCTGCTCTTCTGTGGACTTCAGCTTAACTTGACCCTTGACGTCACCCCCTTAATGCCCTGGACCCAACGTTAAAATTACCTACAGCTGATCTTCTACGGACATCACTCCCTTAATGCCCTGGACCCCACATGAAAATTACCTACGGCTGGTCTTCTGTGGACTTCAGCTTAACTTGACTCTTAACGTCACCCCCTTAATGCCCCCCCTTAATGCCCTGGACCCAACGTTAAAATTACCTACAGCTGATCTTCTACGGACGGCACTCCCTTAATGCCCTGGACCCCACATTATAATTACCTACAGCTGATCTTCTACGGACGGCACTCCCTTAATGCCCTGGACCCCACATGAAAATTACCTACAGCTGATCTTCTACGGTCGTCACTCCCTTAATGCCCTGGACCCCACCTTATAATTACCTACAGCTGATCTTCTACGGACATCACTCCCTTAATGCCCTGGACCCCACATTAAAATTACCTACGGCTGGTCTTCTGTGGACTTCAGCTTAACTTGACCCATGACGTCACCCCCTTAATGCCCTGGACCCCACATTATAATTACCTACAGCTGATCTTCTACGGACGTCACTCCCTTAATGCCCTGGACCCCACATTATAATTACCTACAGCTGATCTTCTACGGACATCACTCCCTTAATGCCCTGGACCCCACATTATAATTACCTACAGCTGATCTTCTACGGACGTCACTCCCTTAATGCCCTGGACCCAACATTATAATTACCTACAGCTGATCTTCTACGGACGTCACTCCCTTAATGCCCTGGACCCAACATTATAATTACCTACAGCTGATATTCTACGGGCGTCGCCCCCTTAATGCCCTGGACCCTACATTATAATTACCTACAGCTGATCTTCTACAGACGCAACTCCCTTAATGCTCTGGACCCAACATTATAATTACCTATAGCTGGTCTACTACGGACATTGCCCTTCCTTGACCCTTGAGGTCACTCCCTTAATGCCCTGGACCCCACATTAAAATTACCTACGGCTGCTCTTCTGTGGACTTAAGCTTAACTTGACTCCTGACGTCACCCCCTTAATGCCCTGGACCCAACGTTATAATTACCTACAGCTGATCTTCTATGGACGGCACTCCCTTAATGCCCTGGACCCCACATTATAATTACCTACAGCTGGTCTTCTACGGACATCACTCCCTTAATGCCCTGGACCCAACATTATAATTACCTATGGCTGGTCTACTACGGACATTGCCCTTCCTTGACCCATGGGGTCACTCCCTTAATGCCCTGGACCCCACATTAAAATTACCTACGGCTGGTCTTCTGTGGACTTCAGCTTAACTTGACTCTTGACGTCACCCCCTTAATGCCCTGGACCCAACGTTAAAATTACCTACAGCTGATCTTCTACGGACGGCACTCCCTTAATGCCCTGGACCCCACATTATAATTACCTACAGCTGATCTTCTACGGTTGTCACTCCCTTAATGCCCTGGACCCAACATTATAATTACCTACAGCTGATCTTCTACAGACGCAACTCCCTTAATGCTCTGGACCCAACATTATAATTACCTACAGCTGATCTTCTACAGACGCAACTCCCTTAATGCCCTGGACCCAACATTATAATTACCTATAGCTGGTCTACTACTGACATTGCCCTTCCTTGACCCTTGAGGTCACTCCCTTAATGCCCTGGACCCCACATTAAAATTACCTACGGCTGCTCTTCTGTGGACTTCAGCTTAACTTGACTCCTGACGTCACCCCCTTAATGCCCTGGACCCAACGTTATAATTACCTACAGCTGATCTTCTATGGACGGCACTCCCTTAATGCCCTGGACCCCACATTATAATTACCTACAGCTGGTCTTCTACGGACGTCACCCCCTTAATGCCCTGGACCCAACATTATAATTACCTATGGCTGGTCTACAACGGACATTGCCCTTCCTTGACCCATGGGGTCACTCCCTTAATGCCCTGGACCCCACATGAAAATTACCTACGGCTGGTCTTCTGTGGACTTCAGCTTAACTTGACTCTTGACGTCACCCCCTTAATGCCCTGGACCCCACATTATAATTACATTGTTTCAGCCATATAGCGACGAGACCAAGCTAATATATATACACAATTTAGTTATTTATGCAATGTCATATTTAAAAACAATTTATGAAACATATTGGAGCATTCTATATTTAAAAACAATTGATGAAACATATTTGAGCATAACAATATCATTAATACAGTTTAAAACACGGGCTATAGGCCACCAGTAACGAAAGCTAGGCCACCAGTAACGAAAGCTAGGCCACCTCGCTGGGGATCATGGGGACTTACAGTACTTCTGCTTCCTGCATGATACCCCAGCAGGATTTACGTCATCACTTTAGCCACTGGTGGTTGTGCACAATACTAGCCAATATTAAAAAATACTCATCAATGAGTTGGCTTAAAACACTGGTTGATGCTGGTTACATCCATTACTATAGGATTACGTGTCACACAGGGGGACAATATTTTTACGCTACGTTAACCTCCTGGACAGAGCCTTTAATAATATCAGTTGCTAATAGCATCACACCAAATTTTTAAAAAAGCATTTAATTATTCACTTACATATTTAAAATTTATTATACAGACCAATTTCTTTCAAGTAATTTATGATGAGATGCCCGCTGACACGGGAAAAGAGATCTTTTAGATTTACACTTTGATAATGTGAATCCCTTGCGATTGCAAAGTCCACACAGTCAAGCAATATATGCTTGACAGTGAACCTTTCATCACAAGGGATACACTTCTGTCTTAAGCAGATATCCGTGTGTAAACTGACTGTGGCCAATACGACACTGTCGTAAAACGACCTCGTCATGTCTTGACTGACAACCCAAGTAGGTATGACCGATTGTTGGTTTTAAATATGTGTAGTTTATTGCTTCCTACTTGGGTGTCCCACCTCTTTTGCATGAGATCCTGAGTATAAGATTTGATGGTTGGTTTGAAATCACTGTACAGGATAAAGAGTGGAGACAACGGTTTGTCAAGAGCTGCTTTAGCTGCAGTATCGGCTTTTGAGTTACCTGTTATGCCTACATGACTTGGTAACCAGCAAAAGACGATGTCACATTGGCCAGTAGAAAGATCATTATAGAGTTCTAAAATGTCAAGGATTATAGGATGATTTGAGGAGACACTTTTAAGTGCCTGAAGGCATGATAATGAATCGGAGAAAATGATGAAATTTTTAGATTGGTTTTGATGTTTGATATAGGTCAAAGCTGTAAAGATAGCTTTTGCCTCAGCAGTAAAAATTGAACTAGTATCTGGTATTCTTGAGGAGACAGTTCTGGATCCAATGATGGTGGCACTTGCAACTTTGCCACCATCCCTGGACCCGTCTGTAAAACTGGACCTGTGAGAATTATATTTGGAGCGTAATTGGTTATATGATTGTTGATATACCAAAGGATTGGTATCCGACTTTTTTAGATTGGTTAGAGTGAGGTCTACTTCTGGCTTCACCATCTGCCAGGGAGGAGAAGACAGAAGACGGTGAGGTGATATAATATTTAAATCCAATTAAGCTGTAGTGATGTGTGGTTGAATTCTGATTCCAAGTGGTGGAACCAGGTTTGATAGATTTTGAAACAGGTTTTCATATTGAGGGTGGAACACACAATTGTATGCTGGATTACATTTATTTGAGTACAATTTAGAGATATATTGCAGTGAGAGTTTAATGCGGCGCAGTTCGAGTGAAGGTTCATCGGCCTCCACATACAAACTGTCCATGGGAGAGGTCCTAAAAGCTCCAAGACAGAGTCTTAGGCCTTGATGGTGTACAGTGTCCAATTTTTTTTTAAATTGCTTTTGCAGGCTCCACCATAGACAATGGAACCATAGTCCAGTTTGGAGCGTATTAACGATCTGTACAAGTGAAGGAGGGTGGTCTGATCCCCTCCCCACTCGGAATTTGAAACGACTTTTAACAAGTCGAGAGCCTTCAGGCACTTTGCCTTGAGATATTTAATGTGTGGTAAGAATGTGAGATGACGATCAAATATGAGGCCCAGGAATTTGGCCTCCTCTACTACCTTGATAGGAGTACCATCTAAAAATAAATCTGGATCCTTGTGAGGTTTGTATTTACAACAAAAGTGAATACAGTTTGTTTTGGATTTAGAAAATTTGAAGCCGTTTTCGTTTGCCCATTTTTGAATTTTGTTAAGACAGAGCTGTAGCTGTCTTTCTATTGTATTCATATTCTTACCACGACAAGAAATGTTGAAATCGTCCACAAAAAGTGAACCATCAACGCTATTGTTTAATACTTTAGTGAGACTATTTCCTGTACTCGGAAAAGGAGCTGGCCAAGCTAGTCTTTTTTTATTTTTTTATTGCTGCTCTAAGGCCAAACTGTGCACACACGTACAGGTAATAGCTGTTGAATGCTTAGTTATTTTAAAAAAAAATATAACGTTTCTATAGAAGTCTATGGGAAAACATTTGGTTGTGTGTAACCTAAAGGGAAGTAACTGCATGCTATATTGGATCGCATTGTTTTTAGGTATGAGAATTTTTTAATTTTTTTTGAAAATAGAAATAAAAATGAAATGTGGGGCTGATTTTATGATGCTGTGGTTACGTGCCTGGGAACCAAGACTATTAAATGTTTTTAGCCTTAGTTGTATTTCTATTTAAACAAAAGTCCTGCAAGGTTGACAACAGTAACAAGAAATACTCCTATCCCCCTCCAGTGAATGTTCCATTTCACTGAATGAAAAACCGTATAACACACTGCTAGCTAACTGGTACCTTTAACCTCTAGAGTGAGTTTGATTTTACGCCGCTTTTAGCAATGTTCCAGCAACATCACGGCGGGGGACACCAGAAATGGGCTTCACAGATTGTACCCATGTCGGGAATCGAACCCGGGTCTTCGGCGTGACGAGCGAACGCTTTAACCACTAGGCTACCCGACCGCCCTAACCTCTAGGGTGGTGTTCCCATGAGAAGATCACTGGTTATCAACAGATACACTAGGTTCTTTAACTTATTTCCATGGAAATACAAGACAAAACATTCCAAACACGTAAACGTAAGCAGTTGACCACTTCAATGATAAATGAGGAAATGCATTTGTTCATTGAATGGAATTTCATGCCATTAAAAATGTGAAAAAAATGACATTTAAAAAAATTCCTATATAGAAAAAAAATCATGTTTATTACTTGACTGATGACTGTGCATGAGTTGATCAAGAAATGTTGAATAATCTTTGTGTAATGCCCCAGAAACAAACCCTACCTTCATTTGAATCATTGTCATGGAAAAAGGAAAAAATAAACATTTTCAACCCCATAAATAGCAAAAGGCACCAGGTCACTTTACTAGACTGATATCTATATATGGACGGACAGCCCCCTTTGATAGATAGGAGAATGGGAGGACAGACAGACAGCCCCCTGTGATAGATAGGAGAATGGAAGGACAGACAGACAGCCCCCTGTGACAGATGGGAGAATGGAAGGACAGACAGACAGACCCCTGTGACAGATGGAAGGTTGGAAGGATGGACAGACAGCCCCCTGTGATAGATAGGAGAATGGAAGGACAGACAGACAGCCCCCTGTGACAGATGGTAGAATGGAAGGATGGACAGACAGCCCCCTGTGATAGATAGGAGAATGGAAGGACAGACAGACAGCCCCCTGTGACAGATGGGAGAATTGAAGGATGGACGGACAGCCCCCTGTGATAGATAGGAGAATGGAAGGACAGACAGACAGCCCCCTGTGATAGATAGGAGAATGGATGAACAAACAGACAGCCCCCTGTGATAGATAGGAGAATGGAAGGACAAACAGACAGCCCCCTGTGATAGAAAGGAGAATGGAAGGACAGACAGACAGTCCCCTGTGACAGATGGGAGAATGGATGGACGAACAGACAGCCCCCTGTGATAGATGGGAGAATGGAAGGACAGACAGATAGCCCCCTGTGATAGATAGGAGAATGGAAGGACAGACAGACAGCCCCCTGTGACAGATGGAAGGTTGGAAGGATGGACAGACAGCCCCCTGTGACAGATGGGAGAATGGAAGGACAGACAGACAGACCCCTGTAATAGATAGGAGAATGGAAGGACAAACAGACAGACCCCTGTGATAGATAGGAGAATGGAAGGATGGACGAACAGCCCCCTTTGACAGATGGGAGAATGGCAGAATGGACGGACAACCCCCTGTGATAGATAGGAGAATGGAAGGACAAACAGACAGACTCCTGTGACAGATGGGAGAATGGATGGACAAACAGTCAGCCCCCTGTGATAGATAGGAGAATGGAAGGACAGACAGATAGCCCCCTGTGATAGATAGGAGAATGGAAGGACAGACAGACAGCCCCCTGTGATAGATAGGAGAATGGAAGGATGGACAGACAGTCCCTGTGACAGATGGGAGAATGGAAGGACAGACAGAAAGCCCCCTGTGACAGATGGAAGGCTGGAAGGATGGACGGACAGCTTCCTGTGACAGATGGGAGAATGGAAAGATGGACGGACAGCACCCTCTGACAGACTGGAGAATGGAAGGACAGACAGACAGACCCCTGTGACAGATGGGAGAATTGAAGGATGGACAGACAGCCCCCTGTGACAGATGGAAGAATGGAAGGATGGACAGACAGTCCCTGTGACAGATGGGAGAATGGAAGGACAGACAGAAAGCCCCCTGTGACAGATGGGAGAAGGGAAGGATGGATGGACAGCCCCCTGTGACAGATGGAAGGTTGGAAGGATGGACGGACAGTCCCCTGTGACGGATGAAAGGTTGGAAGGACAGACAGTCCCCTGTGACAGATGGAAGGTTGGAAGGTTGGAAGGACAGACAATCCCCTGCGACAGATTGAAGGTTGGAAGGACAGACAGACAGCCCCCGTGACAGATGGAAGGTTGGAAGGACAGACAGCACCCTGTGACAGATGGAAGGTTGGAAGGACAGACAATCCCCTGCGACAGATTGAAGGTTGGAAGGACAGACAGACAGCCCCCGTGACAGATGGAAGGTTGGAAGGACAGACGGTCCCCTGTGACAGATGGAAGGTTGGAAGGACAGACAATCCCCTGCGACAGATTGAAGGTTGGAAGGACAGACAGACAGCCCCCTTGACAGATGGATGGTTGGAAGGACAGACAGCACCCTGTGACAGATGGAAGGTTGGAAGGACAGACAGCACCCTGTGACAGATGGAAGGTTGGAAGGACAGACAGACAGCCCCCTTGACAGATGGAAGGTTGGAAGGACAGACAGCACCCTGTGACAGATGGAAGGTTGGAAGGACAGACAGACAGCACCCTGTGACAGATGGAAGGTTGGAAGGAGTGAAGGACAGCACCCTTTGCTCCATCCTCCTCCCCCTAAATAGCTGGGATAATAGAAAGGCCTCTGGTGGCTGTCATGGTTCCTGGCAGACCTACTCCGTGTGCCACTTCGGTAGTCTTCTGTTTAATACTGGCGCCATCGGGGCTCCCCCTCTTTTGTTTTGAATCCCTGGAACAATTATTACATTCAGGAACAAGATAACACCAATCTCCTAGTAGCTGAGTCAATGTCATTCTTACATTATCATACAAAAGAACACAAAATCAGTCATAATCATTTGTATTTTGTATTGATGTTCATCAAACATAGGAACCAGATTAGTATACATACAATAATACCCAAATGGTATGGAAAACCAATTGTCTGGACAATTACTGTTCGAAATTCACACATACATACATAGGAGATTACTCTGTGGCTATAATTTATTAATCATGAGGATAATTTCAGCCTCTAGAAATGGTAGGTCATTATGTCAAGTCTTGGAATGGTAAGTCACCCTGTCAAGTCTTGGAATGGTAAGCAATTATGTCAAGTCTTGGAATTGTAGGTCATTATGTCAAGTCTTGGAATGGTAGGTCATTATGTCAAGTCTTGGAATGGTAGGTCATTATGTCAAGTCTTGGAATGGTAAGCAATTATGTCAAGTCTTGGAATGGTAAGCAATTATATCAAGTCTTGGAATTGTAGGTCATTATGTCAAGTCTTGGAATGGTAAGCAATTATATCAAGTCTTGGAATTGTAGGTCATTATGTCAAGTCTTGGAATTGTAGGTCATTATGTCAAGTCTTGGAATGGTAGGTCATTATGTCAAGTCTTGGAATGGTAGGTCATTATGTCAAGTCTTGGAATGGTAAGCAATTATGTCAAGTCTTGGAATGGTAGGTCAATAAATTAAGTCTTGGAATGCCATAATGTGAAGTCCTTAAGCAAGAATATTGTAACGGAAAGTAGTATTGTCAATCCACGGAATGGTAATTCTATCAACCTGTACTAAGGTAGATTGTACCTACCTCCTCTTCTCACCACCACCTTCTCCTGTGCCCTGAAAATATGTATCATATATTATGTCTGTGTGATTTAAAGTAATAGAAATGTTCCTATATCTCGAAGTTTGTTTCTAACTCATGAACAATTTCAAACTAGAACAGTTTCTATACATGTAATTATCATGGTAGTTGGGACTCAGATCCACAGTTGGACTTGGATCAATGACAGGGTCCAGGGTAGGTCTCAGATCCATGGTAGGTCTCAGATCCACAGTTGGCCTCAGTTCCATGGTAGGTCTCAGATCCACAGTTGGCCTCAGTTCCATGGTAGGTCTCAGATCCACAGTTGGCCTCAGATCCATGGTAGGTCTCAGATCCACAGTTGGCCTCAGTTCCATGGTAGGTCTCAGATCCACAGTTGGCCTCAGTTCCATGGTAGGTCTCAGATCCACAGTTGGCCTCAGATCCAAGGTCTCATAATCACAGTAGGAATTTGGGGTCCATGGTAGGACTCAGATCCATGGTAAGAGTCAGATCCATGGTAGGAGTCAGATCCATGGTAGGAGTCAGATCATGGTAGGACTCAGATCTATGGAAGGACTCAGATCCATGGTAGGACTCAGATCTATGGTAGGACTCAGATCCATGGTAGGACTCAGATCTATGGTAGGACTCAGATCCATGGTAGGACTCAGATCCATGGTAGGACTCAGATCCATGGTAGGACTCAGATGCATAGTAAGAGTCAGATCCATGAATGGAGTCAGATCCATGGTAGGACTCAGATCCATGGTAGGACTCAGATCCATGGTTGGAGTAAGATCCATGGTAGAATTCAGATCCATGGAAGGTATTCAGATGTTGCATATTTTCGAACTCAGTATATCTTTCTATGACATGAACAAAAGTATTACAGATATGAAACAGTTAGAATATGAATAAACATCAGCTAACTAAATGCAGTAAAGGATGCCATGAAGCAGAGATAGCTAAAAGTGAAACCCAGAGGGACACCATTGATGACATCACAACACACTAGCACCCCATGATGACATCACAACACAACAGCACCCCATGATGACATCACATCGCACCAGCACCCCTTGATGACATCACAACACTCCAGCACCCCTTGATGACATCACAACACTCCAGCACCCCATGATGACATCACAACACAACAGCACCCCATGATGACATCACATCGCACCAGCACCCCTTGATGACATCACAACACTCCAGCACCCCTTGATGACATCACAACACTCCAGCACCCCATGATGACATCACAACACACTAGCACCCCTTGATGACATCACATCACACCAGGACCCCTTGATGACATCACAACACAACAGCACCCCTTGATGACATCACAACACACTAGCACCCCTTGATGACATCACAACACAACAGCACCTGTTGCGCAGTGGAAGGCAACGTTCACGTGTCTACCTTTCCTCTTATCTACTCAACTGGAAATTATACGATTAATGGAGAACTAAACATAATTCTCTTCCTATGACAAAATGGGGAACTAAACGTGATTTTCTTTTTACGACGTGGGGAACTAAACGTGATTCTCTTCTTAATGAAAATTAAAGAAACTATGCAAGGTCCATGACCACGAATGCAGGAATGAATAATTGACTATACGAGCAAGTACACACTTTACGTTTCTAAGGGCCACGAATATTGTCCCATCTAGTTTATACTAAGACCATGAATATTGGTCCAACGACAACCAGCAGCATCCCTTGATGACATCACAGCACACCAGCACCCCTTAATGACATCACAATACACAAGCAGCCCATGATGACATCACAACACCAGCACCCATTAATGACATAACAACACACTAGCAGCCCATGATGATATCACAACAAACTAGCACCCCTTCATGACATCACAGCAAACTAGCACCCCTTCATGACATCACAACACACTAGCACCCCTTGATGACATCACAACACACTAGCACCCAATCATGACATCACAACACTCCAGCACCCCTTGATGACACCACATCACACTAGCACCCCATGATGACATCACAACACTCCAGCACCCCTTGATGACATCACAACACACTAGCACCCCATGATGACATCACAACACACCAGCACCCCATGATGACATCACAACACTCCAGCACCCCATGATGACATCACAACACTCTAGCACCCCTTGATGACATCACATCACACCAGCATCTCTTGATGACATCACAACACACCAGCATCCCTTGATGACATCGCAACACAACAGCATCCTTTTATGACATCACAACACAACAGCACCCCTTCATGACCTCACAATACAAAAACCTTGTAGTCATGGACACGAGATATATATTTCTGACTTGATTGAGACATTTTCTATGTGTATATTCTCATTATAATCAGATCTTTTAGTCAAGAAACAATACCTTTAGGGACACCTCAATAGGAGGTTGTGTGAAATGAACCCTTAAGTTTGACCATCCAGTGTGTGGGTTCCTAAACCATCAGATGTCAGATTCAAACAGTATGCCAACATTCCATTACCAACACCTCAATTTGGAAACTTGGATTGGACACAGAGCACAATTACACCTTAAACAGTGCACCCTGAATAGTACACCCTGAACAGTGAACCTTTAATAGTACACCCTGAACACTACACCTAAGCAGTACACCCTGAACAGTACACCCTTAACAGTACACCCTGAACAGTGCACACTGAAAAGTCCACCCTGAACAGTACACCTTGAACAGTGCACCCTGAATAGTGCACCCTGAACAGTGCACCCTGAATAGTACATCCTGAACAGTGCACCCTGAATAGTACATCCTGAACATAACACCCTGAACAGTACACCCTGAACAGTACACCCGGAACAGTGCACCCTGAATACTACACCCTGAACAGTACACCCGGAACAGTACACCCTGAACAGTACACCCTGAACATTGCACCCGGAACAGTGCACCCTGAACAGTACACCCTGAACATTGCACCCGGAACAGTGCACCCGGAACAGTGCACCCTGAACAGTACACCCTGAACAGTACACCCTGAACAGTACACCCGGAACAGTGCACCCGGGACAGTGCACCCTGAACACTACACCCTGAACAGTACACCCTGAACAGTACACCCTGAACACTACACCCTGAACAGTGCACCCGGAACAGTGCACCCTGGACACTGCACCCGGAACAGTACACCCGGAACAGTACACCCTGAACAGTACACCCTGAACAGTACACCCGGAACAGTGCACCCGGAACAGTGCACCTTGAACACAACACCCTGAACAGTACACCCGGAACAGTACACCCGGAACAGTAAACCCTGAACACTACACCCTGAACAGTACACCCGGAACAGTGCACCCTGAACACTACACCCTGAACAGTGCACCCTGAACACTACACCCTGAACAGTACACCCTGAACAGTACACCCGGAACAGTGCACCCGGAACAGTGCACCCTGAACAGTACACCCTGAACACTACACCCTGAACAGTACACCCTGAACAGTACACCCGGAACAGTGCACCCGGAACAGTGCACCCGGAACAGTGCACCCTGAACACTACACCCTGAACAGTACACCCGGAACAGTACACCCTGAACAGTACACCCTGAACAGTACACCCTGCACAGTACACCCTGAACAGTACACCCTGAACAGTACACCCTGCACAGTACACCCTGAACAGTGCACCCTGAATAGTACACCTTGACCAGTACACCCTGAACACTACACTCTGAACAGTACACCCTGAATAGTACACCTTGAACAGTACACCCTGAAAAGTACACCCTGAACAGTACACCCTGAACACTTCACCTTGAACAGTACACCCTGAACATAACATCCTGATTAGTACATCCTGAACATAACATCCTGATTAGTACACCCTGAACAGAACACCCTGAACAGTGCACCCTGAACAGTACACCCTGAACACTACACCCTGAACTGTACACCCTGAACAGAATACCCTGAACAGAACACCCTGAACAGTGTAATCACTGGATTGTCTGGTCCAGAGTCCATTATTTACAGACTGCCTTCACGGAATATTGCTGAGTACACCCTGAACAGTGCACCTTGAACAGTACACCCTGAACAGTACACCCTGAACATCTTGGACAGTACACCCTGCACAGTACACCCTGAATAGTATACCCTGAACAGTACACTCTGAACTGTAAGCCTGAACACTACACCCTGAACAGTGCGTACTGAACAGTACACCCTGGCAAGTACACCCTGAACAGTACACCCTGGACACCCTGAACAGTACACCCTGAACAGTCCACCCTGAACAGTGCACCCTGAACACCCTGAAGAATACTTCCTGAACAGTTCACCCTGGACTGTACACCTTGAACAGTAAACCCTGAACAGTACACCCTGGAATGTACACCCTGAACAAAGCATCCTGAACAGTACACCCTGGACAGTACACTATGAAAAGTACACTCTGAACAGTACATCCTGAACAGTACACCATGAATAGTATACCCTAAACACCCTAAACAGTGCATCCTGAACAGTACACCTTGAACAGTACACTATGAACAGCACACCCTGGACAGTACACTATGAAAAGTACACTCTGAAAAGTACACTCTGAACAGTACACCCTGGGCAGTACACCCTGGACAGTACACCTTGGAATGTACACCCTGAACAGTACACCCTGGACAGTACACCCTGAACAGTACACTCTGGAAAGTACACCCTGAACAGTACACTCTGGACAGTACACCCTGGACAGTACACCCTGAACAGTACACTCTGGAAAGTACACCCTGAACATTACACCCTGAACAGTACACTCTGAACAGTACACTCTGAACAGTATGCCTGAACACTGCACCCTGAAGAATACATCCTGAAGAGTACACCCTGAACTGTATATATATATACAATCTGACACATTATTCTTCATAGACATTCAAACATATTATTCTACATATAAATTCAGACACATTATTCTACATATACATTCAGATACATTATTCTACATATATGTTTAGACACATTATTCTACATATATATTCAGACATACTATTCTACATATACATTCAGACACATTATTCTACATATATGATTAGACACATTATTCTACATATATATTCAGACACACCATTCTACATATACATTCAGACACATTATTCTGCATATACATTCAGACACATTATTCTACATATATATTCCAACACAATATATCACATATACATTCAGAACCATTATTCTACATATATGTTTAGACACATTCTACAAATATATTCAGACACACTATTCTACATATACATTCAGACAAATTATTCTACATATATGATTAGACACATTATTCTACATATATGATTAGACACATTATTCTACATATATGATTAGATACATTATTCTACATATATATTCAGACACACTATTCTACATATACATTCAGACACATTATTGTGCATATACATTCAGACACATTATTCTACATATATATTCCAACACAATATATCACATATACATTCAGAACCATTATTCTACATGTATGTTTAGACACATTCTACAAATATATTCAGACACACTATTCTACATATACATTCAGACACATTATTCTACATATATGATTAGACACATTATTCTACATATATGATTAGACACATTATTCTACATATATGATTAGACACATTATTCTACATATATATTCAGACACACTATTCTACATATACATTCAGACACATTATTCTGCATATACATTCAGACACATTATTCTACATATATATTCCAACACAATATATCACATATACATTCAGAACCATTATTCTACATATATGTTCAGACACATTATTCTACATATATTAAAACACTATTTCACACATATATTCAGATATATTATCATACACATGCATACAGATACATTATGATACATATATATTTAGAGATTCAGACACATTGTTCTACATATATATTTAGACACATTATTCTACATATACATTCAGACACATTATTCTACATATATATTCAGACACATTATTCTACATATGCATTCAGACACATTACTCTAGATGTATACCAAGAGGAGAGACAGACAAGCAAAAAGCATGCAATACTGTACAAACAAGGGAGGATGTTGATCGTAACACATTCTACCATGAGAAACATACTTCATCTTAATCACATTAACCCAGCACCCCCTTATACTGGACACAGTAATGTACAACAGGATGAGTCCTTGTTATTTGCCACATAGTCATGCTATTGGAAATGTAAACAAATGGCTTAGGTCAGACACAGTGAGTGAGTGAGTTTGGTCATATTTAAGTACAGTGAATCATGGGAAGAATGTTATCCTGGTTGTGGAATATTATTGGTGTTGATAGACCAAAGCTGATGATTAGGGTGGCTCTGGGATTCAAACCCACCATGACCACCCTGAGATGCAAACTGTGGTTGCTGGGACCACTGGGCCACCTGGTACACAGGAGCACAATAATGTCAAAGTTCATAGGAAGAACAATGACATCGACCAAAACACAATCCCCAAACTTTGTTTAAGATGAAGTACCTTTCTGATTCTGACAGCATGTTTAGTAACATACTGGCCTCCTCATATCATCATCCTGCTTGTCTCTAAATACTTTGAATTTCAGAATTTCACTGATTGATAGCAATTTATGCTTATGATATAGTCAAAATCATACAGAGATTTCTTACAATCATTGAAATTTTTTGTCGCTTTTATAAATATAATTCCCATGACCCATAATAAAAGATTCCACTGTATGCATAGAAGGGAGGAAGAACAACGGCAGAAAACACCGTTGTCAACTCAATAAGCAGTCCAAGGGATGGCGCTGGAGGTAGGTGCAGTCAAGTCCTATTAAGTCAAATATGGTACGGCACATTCAACCTGACCAACACTCAGACAAATTTGATCAAAAGAAAAACAAATTTTGAGATTTGCTTGCCAGACACCCTGATTGTCATTTCTGTGGCATTGGGAACACCACACATTAACATTGAAGAAAATACTCGTAAATACAACCAAGTTGTTTTCAGTGATTTGACATTGAGAATGTCTGTCAGGTTGAATATATTGTATCAATCAACACACAGGGTGGATTTGTAGAAAGATGTTGGTTTAAATACCCTTAAATATCCCGCTCTTGTCCGCTGAAACAAATGGAGCTCTTTCTAAACACATGCACACGTTTGCACATGATGCATCTATAACCTTCCTGATACAGCCATGCTGTATACAAGGCTGTGGACAGACAACAACTGTGAAAACACCGACATATCTCTCTCAATGTACTATTAAATAGTCAAAGATACATATAGCAATTTAATGCAGCTACATCCTTCAGTGAAGATCATAAAGTTTGATAATAACATAATTACATTTGTTTGTTTTTCTGATGTTTAACGCCACACTCAGCAATATTCCAGCAATATGACGGTGTTATGTGAATAATCAAATCTGGAACAGACAATCCAGTGATTGATATCATGAGCATCAATCCACACAATTGGGATATGATGATATACATCAACCAATTCAGTGAGCCTGACCACCTGTTCCCTTAGTCGCCTCGTATGACAAGCTAGGATGCTAAGGACAAACGCTGAAATACAAATCCTCTGAATATAAGAAAAATATTCCTAATGTTTTTGCAACAAATTTGCTTGCCCAAACAATTTGGTTTTCTTCTAAAAAAGTGTGTATTTTACACAAGACAATACAGTAGTTGCAAATCCAAGAAATATCTGTGATTAAATTAAGGTGAGTTTCCTTTAAAATTGGGTGTTTTTTCCTCACACCCTGATATTGTTATTTCTTGACAGACCTTCAGGACGTAATGGGTTCAATGAACTGTACACAAATACCTTTGTACTACAGACTGGAAGCGCCCAGGTTCCCACGGCAACAGGATAACGAGGACCTATGGTCCATGTGAGCTCATACTTAAGTGTGAACTTACTTGTTTAGTAAGGTCCAACTTTGAATTCAATTCCTTAGATAAATCCTGTACATTTTTTGTCGTGTGCATGTCTGAAATTATAATATATTTACATGAGATCATTGTAAATGTATGAATTGTGACAAACCACATCATCAATGTTGGGGTTGACAAGGAAATGTACAGCATAATTAAACATTTTGAAGCAGATTATCATTGACGGTCTTGAATTCCCTCCCCTCACTGTGCTGATATTATGATACACATTTTAACCAATCAGAAACATTTGCTGAGTTCAAACCCATGTAGCACCGTAATTTCCGGCCACCTTTTTCTTGTTTACCTCGGTGGCGAAGCTTAGGGTTGAGATTTGATGGTTGTTTTAAAATAAATACGAGGTGAGGTGACCACAGATGAACACGATTGTGTAGCCAATGGTTTGTTTAGCAAGTTCCAATAGGTTGAAATAACTGACATTCATATTTCATATATTATCAAGCTGTGATTCGAACCGAGTGCGAAATCTTGAATAAGAACCAAGATGGCGGGTGTCACTCCTTGTCTATATGTATATAGAGGGGTGAGAATTTTTTTCTATACAAATATACAATGCTATACACGCTATCATCGAGTTCCTGTGTCTGGAGTTACCTCCCTTGGTAACTTCATAAAAGTACTTCATGGTGTACTTCACACCACTCAGCAATATTCCAGCTTTATGACAGCTGTCTGTAAATAATAGAGTCTGGACCAGACAATCCAATGATTAACATCATGAGCACTGATCAATTGTTATACAATGACATGCATCAACAAAGTCGGTGAGCCTGACCACCCAATCCTGTTGGTCGCCTCTTAACACAAGCATGGGTTGCTGAAGCCCTATTGTACTTAACAATGTGTTGTGAGAGTGATTATTCTTAGTAGTAGTTGTAGTACCTGTAGTATATTGGTTAAAGAATGAATTACCTCCTTTCTTTGCCCTGGCTCCCTCCCTCGGTGGAACAGGGGGCGCTGCTGGCTCTCTAAGTCGATAGAGATCATCATCATCAGTAACTAAAAATAAAAATTGCACCAAATCAGTCCCTCCTCACTTGGAGACCTGCTGAGCTTAGCTCTAAAGAGTAACCGAGTTGGATATATATTTATCACATCTCCAAGTGAAATATCCATTTGACAGACACATGACACATAGTCTTGCAGGTTCCTAAGATTCTTACTGAAACAAATAATTGATTTTGTCAATCTTCTAAAACAAGCTGAATTAACTTCCTGATTTTCCATGTGAGAATTTCTTATGGGCATTTTAATCATTGCAATTTATCTAAAAATGGAGCAAAATTATTAATTTCAATTTCTTCTTGGTTCACAAATTGTTCGTAAATAACTTGGGCCTTACCAAGAAGGTAGCATGTCAGACCCCAGCATAAGGGTCTCAGCTATCCATCTTCAAGGGAAACAAATCACAAGTTAAAAAATAAAATAAATTAATATTAAAAACAAAACATTTGTAGAAGAGATTCTCACAATCGTTATTCTTCCTATTATTATAGTCTTTAGGCACCACGAACGAGTGTGGATCTTCGTAGATCTTTGCCTCGATGTCCTGGTACGTCTCTGATATGTTGTCGTCATCCTGCCCATCGGCCGCCAAGCGGATGTTCTGGTTGTTGGCCAGCTTCAGTTCCTTCTTGATCTTCTTCATCCAGTCCTGCAACATGGAGCCACGGACTGATTAACTGGCTAAACTAATTGATGAACCATGTCATATTCATACATCTGCACATGTCATAGATATCACATGTAGCATAGCTTTCTGGAGTGAGTGGCACTGTTATCAATGATGTTAATGTTTAACCTTCCTCACTCCAACTATTTGAATTAGATCCTGTAGTTGATTTGTAGCTACTTTCTAAAACACAAGGATGTGTACTGTTAACCTGGCCTGCTTGTATCAATATCAAACATAACTGTCAACAATATGTGTGCTACAAGGCTAGACTGATGAAATATACCTGTTGACAATTATGTAACCAGAAGTGAGTGAGTGAGTTGGGTTTAATGCCACTTTTAACAGGATTCAAGTTATATCATGGAGTGTAAGCTTAATGTATGAGGAAAGCCTGAAGTGATGCAGGTCTCAGACGTTTAGCACTTTTGTGAAACCCACAAGCACGGGTATGGTGCTGACAAACCTAGAAACATAATCAGGGCGAACAGCGATTTAAACCCACAATCAGAGGTTTCTGGCATGCAGAGAAGGACGCAAGTCTGCACAATGAATCGCGGCACCTTAGACAATTTGGCCACGCCACGTAACCCGGAAGAGGAACAAGGCACAGTGAGACGAACTGCACATGGCAGGAAGTCTAACTGCGCAGGACGGAGGAAGTGCTTTGGTGTCTTACATTGACAGTTGATTGTTCAGTTGCAAGGACATGCAGGCATATACAGGAGAATTTTCACTTACCTTCATTTCTAACTCGGAGGAGGCAGAGAACAGGTATGTCTTGTACTCCTGGTGCGTGTGGATCACCTTGAAGGCCCATGGTGCATCAGTGGGGGGGATATCCGATGCCCTGATAACACTGGCAGAGAGAAGCAGTCATCATTACAAGTCTCCCAGCTTGGTGCTGACATGATCTCAGGATCACTGATATAACACCATAGAAGTTCTTTGTCTGACCATCGTCTTGCAATACCGAAATTCGTTCATAAAATGCCTCATTTCACTTTTTGTTGCTACAGCTGTCCCAATAATCAAGCATTTAAATGATAGGTGATGAAAGAAAGATAGGTGAAATATGATTTGCAACTCGCAGACATGTTGTTCTCTAGCTGATGAATCAATTCTTATCACAAGAAAGGTCAATATTGATCATGTGACATTCAAGGTCAGGTCAATTTTTCTATTGTTAGGTCAGCACCGAAATTTCCATTTTTTGTCCTGTGATACGGATTAACCAATGAAAGTCAAAGCTTCTTAATAGACATGATCGAGGTTTTACAAATGGTCATAATAACACACATCATGACAAAACACATTGGGTCATGATAAAACCCATGAGGCCATGAAAAAACCCATGGGGTCAGGAAAAAACACATAGGGTCAGGAGAAAACACATAGGGTCAGGAGAAAACACATAGGGTCAGGAGAAAACACATAGGGTCAGGAGAAAACACATAGGGTCAGGAGAAAACACATAGGGTCAGGAGAAAACACATGGGGTCATGTAACCATGTAACATTCTGTCCTTCCATTGGTCAACACCTACCTATTGTACCCATATAAGGAGAAGGATCCTGCCGGTGTCTTGGCCGTCTCGTTGCGGTAGTAGTAGAGACAACCCCCACTCAGCACCACAAACACCTGGGGCCCTGTGGACGAGAGAATGATCAGTGAGTCAGCACCATAAACACCTGGGGCCCTGTGGACGAGAGAATGATCAGTGAGTCAGCACCACAAACACCTGGGGCCCTGTGGACGAGAGAATGATCAGTGAGTCAGCACCACAAACACCTGGGGCCCTGTGGACGAGAGAATGATCAGTGAGTGAGCACCACAAACACCTGGGGCCCTGTGGACGAGAGCATGATCAGTGAGTGAGGGAGTTGGGTTTTGATTCCTGGTTCTAGCTATTCAGCAATATCAGAGGGTGTCAGCTAAATGATGCATGGTTCTAGCTATTCAGCATTAGAAACCTAGGGTAAATTATGTCTATTGTTTCGTGGGTGCATTGCTATCGTGGAATGACCGCCAGTCTGCATGTACCGCTCACTACTGATTATCCAACAAGTATACTTGCTGATCAGAGGGAGGTCCATACTGAAGATTTATTAACTTGTCCCTTTCTGGTAGAGTTGTTCAGGTTGTTTATTGACCTGTCCGTCGCTGGAGAGGTTTTACCAAGAGATTTATTGACCTGACCCATGGCGCAAACCAGGCGTGGGGTAGCGGATTAGTTCTTTAAAATAAATCAACACACACGTTTCAATATTTATTCTGAGATGCCATAAACCATGCCATTTACAGTTCAGCTGAAGTTGAATGTGACACAAATATTCCGCGAAGCGTCTCTTTTTGGTTTTCTCTCGCAAGTCGTGATCAGAGACATTTTCACTGGAAACGGCTGGTGGCGGTGCTGCAGATGACGGGATAGCAGTAGCAGTAGCAATTGACGGCGGCGCAGTAGCATCATCTGGAGATGGTCTCGTGGCAGTGGCAGTAACAGACTTTTTCTGCTTTCCCCCACCATAGATGATGTCCGACACCAGCAGTTTCTGATCTTCGGATGTCCATTTATAAGTGCGCACAGTTTCGCTTCGATGGCCTGAAACATATACGCTATCAATTGTACCTTTCAAATGATAACACTACTCCAAAATAGTTGCCCACAAATAATTTATATTTTATCTTTGCCACCGATTTGGAAGTAAAAATATTTTTAAAACTTCAATCAGTAAAATGTTGCTTTACCTGTCTGCTCGCAAATAAGTTGCCCATCAACGTTGGCTCTGTATAGTCTGGTGGCGGATGTTGCCCTGAGAGAGTGATTTGTTCGCTTTCCCTCGATTCCTGCATTCCGACACAGTCGCTTGATTATGCCTTGAAGCGTGTTGTGTCCTATCGGGAAATTGCTTAACCATCTGTCTGCCTTGGGTTTCACTAATGGTGAGTAGTAGAAAGCGTCCATTTTCTGAGCATGGGTTAGAAAGATGTCCTCGTCGCTCATCAAGTTCACGGTAAAAGTGTGTGGTTACTGTGGGAATGCGCACGTTTAAAAAAAAGCTGGTCACGTGAAATGACAATTGTAAAACCTCTCCCAAGTACTAGCAATCTGCACGTGCAGTGCGTGATAATGGGCACATGCATGATCTGACGTCATTACAGCGAATCAAAACGTAGTTCTCATACACTCGAATTTTTCAGGACAATATAAAGAAAATTTCCCCACGGTTTCTAAGCTAGATAAACACTCCTCCTCGGTTATGCTTGGGGATGTAAAACACTCGGCGATCGGGGATCGGAAATGTAAGACCTCGGGGCTTCGCCCTCGGTCTTACATTTCCTCTCCCCTGTCGACTCGGGTTTTACATCCCCAAGCAAAACCTCGGAGTCGTGCTTTATCCTATTCATATCACACGGTGTCAGCTAAATGATGCCTGGTCCTAGCTATACAGCAATATCACAGATTGTCATCTAAATGATGCATGATTCTATTTAGCAATATCACAGGGTGTCAGCTAAATGATGAATGGTTCTAGCTATTCAGCAATCTCACAAGGTGTCAGCTAAAATATGCATGGTTCTAGCTATTCAGCAATATCACAGGGTGACGGCTAAATGATGCCTGGTTCTAGCTATTCAGCAATATCACAGGGTGTCAGCTAAATGATGCTTGGTTCTATTCAGCAATATCACAGGGTGTCAGTTAAATGGTGCCTGGTTCTATTCATAAATAGCACAGGGTGTCAGCTAAATGATGCATAGTTCTAGCTATTCAGCAATATCACAGAGTGTCAGCTAAAGGGTGCCTGGTGCTAGCTATTCAGCAATATCACAGGGTGTCAGCTAAATGATGCCTGGTTCTAGCTATTCAGCAATATCACAGGGTGTCATCTAAATGATGCTTGGTTCTAGCTATACAGCAATATCACAGGGTGTCAGCTAAATGATGCCTGGTTCTAGCTATTCAGCAATATTACAGGGTGTCAGCTAAAAGATGCTTGGTTCTATTTAGCAATATCACAGGGTGTCAGCTTAAGGGTGCCTGGTTCTATTCAGCAATATCACAGGGTGTCAGCTAAAGGGTGCCTGGTGCTAGCTATTCAGCAATATCACAGGGTGTCAGCTAAAAGATGCTTGGTTCTATTTAGCAATATCACAGGGTGTCAGCTAAAGGGTGCCTGGTTCTATTCAGCAATATCACAGAGTGTCAGCTATAGGGTGCCTGGTTCTAGATATTCAGCAATATCACAGGGTGTCAGCTAAATGATGCCTGGTTCTATTCAGCAAAATCGCACGGTGTCAGCTAAAGGGTGCCTGGTTCTAGCTATTCAGCAATATCACAGGGTGTCAGCTATAGGACGCCTGTTTCTAGCTATTCAGCAATATCACAGAGTGTCAGCTAAAGGGTGCCTGGTTCCTAGCTATTCAGCAATATCACAGGGTGTCAGCTAAAGGGTGCCTGGTGCTAGCTGTTCAGCAATATCACAGGGTGTCAGCTAAATGATGCATGGTTCTATTCAGCACTATCACAGGGTGTCAGCTAAATGATGCCTGGTTCTAGCTGTGCTGTTACAGCGTAACAGTTTCCCGCAATGTATGCTCCCTGGCTGTTGGAACTCTCCTGTGCACGAGTCAAATTTGTTGTTGCGTAAAGGTAGCCGAGACAAACCACGCCGTTCGCTCTCGCAATCAGGAAAATTAGGTTTTGACCACTTGTGACACACCACAGTGTGAGTATTGGCAGTATATTTATGATAGTATGGTTAAGATTGTTTGTATACAGTTTAATTGGGCTGTCATAGGATGATATGTCGGGAATTCGCTTTGACAAGCCTTGTAATGTGACTAAGTTTTCGCACGGTTTTTGAATATGCTGACGCATTCAATTTATGTGTTTGAGTTACCCTTATAATTTATTGTCGCATAAGGTTATATGTAAATGGATATTTCTTACGTTGTTTAGGTGTGTCTTTAAAGTCTGTTTTAGCGCATTGTGGACTAAAAGTTGTTATTTTTGTTGAATAGCAAATTACCGTAATGATTTTAAAATGTGGACACCTTTTGTTAAACACATGATATTTTATGCTAGCGACCAGGTTAAGTAATCATTTGTGTTTGTATTTCTTACAGCCTTTTACCCTTTATGAGAACCTTCATATACAGAATAAACACCTTCAAATCTGATGACACTTGTACCATCATTTCTTGAATGGAAGAGGTTCGGGGTTATCTGACTTGTAGCTCGCAAGGGTGATGCAAGTACACTAGCTATTCAGCAATATCACAGGGTGTCAGCTAAATGATGCTTGGTTCTAGCTATTCAGCAATATCACAGGGTGTCAGCTAAAGGGTGCCTGGTTCTAGCTATACAGCAATATCACAGGGTGTCAGCTAAATGATGCCTGGTTCTAGCTATTCAGCAATATCACAGAGTGTCAGCTAAAGGGTGCCTGGTGCTAGCTATACAGCAATATCACAGGGTGTCAGCTAAATGATGCCTGGTCCTAGCTATTCAGCAATATCACAGAGTGTCAGCTAAAGGGTGCCTGGTTCTAGCTATTCAGCAATATCACAGGGTGTCAGCTAAATGATGCCTGATTCTAGCTATTCAGCAATATCACAGAGTGTCAGCTAAAGGGTGCCTGGTGCTAGCTATTCAGCAATATCACAGGGTGTCAGCTAAAAGATGCTTGGTTCTATTTAGCAATATCACAGGGTGTCAGCTAAAGGGTGCCTGGTTCTATTCAGCAATATCACAGGGTGTCAGCTAAAGGTTGCCTGGTTCGAGCTATTCAGCAATATCACAGAGTGTCAGCTAAAGGGTGCCTGGTTCTAGCTATTCAGCAATATCACAGGGTGTCAGCTAAAGGGTGCCTGGTTCTAGCTATACAGCAATATCACAGGGTGTCAGCTAAATGATGCCTGGTTCTAGCTATTCAGCAATATCACAGAGTGTCAGCTAAAGGGTGCCTGGTGCTAGCTATACAGCAATATCACAGGGTGTCAGCTAAATGATGCCTGGTCCTAGCTATTCAGCAATATCACAGAGTGTCAGTTAAAGGGTGCCTGGTTCTAGCTATTCAGCAATATCACAGGGTGTCAGCTAAATGATGCCTGATTCTAGCTATTCAGCAATATCACAGAGTGTCAGCTAAAGGGTGCCTGGTGCTAGCTATTCAGCAATATCACAGGGTGTCAGCTAAAAGATGCTTGGTTCTATTTAGCAATATCACAGGGTGTCAGCTAAAGGGTGCCTGGTTCTATTCAGCAATATCACAGGGTGTCAGCTAAAGGTTGCCTGGTTCGAGCTATTCAGCAATATCACAGAGTGTCAGCTAAACATGCTAAAGGGTGCCTGGTTCTAGCTATTCAGCAATATCACAGGGTGTCAGCTAAAAGATGCTTGGTTCTATTCAGCAATATCACAGGGTGTCAGCTAAATGTGGGGTTAAGGTTTCTTTCAGCACTTTCTAGTCGGGGAACACCAGAAATGGTCTTCACACTTTGTACACATGTACAAACCAGGGCTTTGATGTGAAAAGTGAACACTTTAACCATTGGACTACCTCACTGCCCTTTACAGGAGAGGTAGGCAAAGCATGGTATATGTGCTGACAAGGAGCAAGCAGTCTCAGCTTGATGCTATCCCTGAACCACCCCAATAACAATGATGTATGTCAGTTGTAATTCACACGAGGGACACAGGAGAGGTCAGCAAAGCATGGTATATGTGCTGACAAGGAGCAAGCAGTCTCAGCTTGATGCTATCCCTGAACCACCCCAATAACAATGATGTATGTCAGTTGTAATTCACACGAGGGACACAGGAGAGGTCAGCAAAGCATGGTTTATGTGCTGACAAGGAGCAAGCAGTCTCAGCTTGATGCTATCCCTGAACCACCCCAATAACAATGATGTATGTCAGTTGTAATTCACACGAGGGACACAGGAGAGGTCAGCAAAGCATGGTATATGTGCTGACAAGGAGCAAGCAGTCTCAGCTTGATGCTATCCCTGAACCACCCCAATAACAATGATGTATGTCAGTTGTAATTCACACGAGGGACACAGGAGAGGTCAGCAAAGCATGGTATATGTGCTGACAAGGAGCAAGCAGTCTCAGCTTGATGCTATCCCTGAACCACCCCAATAACAATGATGTATGTCAGTTGTAATTCACACGAGGGACACAGAATAGGTCAGCAAAGCATGGTATATGTGCTGACAAGGAGCAAGCAGTCTCAGCTTGATGCTATCCCTGAACCACCCCAATAACAATGATGTATGTCAGTTGTAATTCACACGAGGGACACAGGAGAGGTCAGCAAAGCATGATATATGTGCTGACAAGGAGCAAGCAGTCTCAGCTTGATGCTATCCCTGAACCACCCCAATAACAATGATGTATGTCAGTTGTAATTCACACGAGGGACACAGGAGAGGTCAGCAAAGCATGGTATATGTGCTGACAAGGAGCAAGCAGTCTCAGCTTGATGCCATCCCTGAACCACCCCAATAACAATGATGTATGTCAGTTGTAATTCACACGAGGGACACAGGAGAGGTCAGCAAAGCATGGTATATGTGCTGACAAGGAGCAAGCAGTCTCAGCTTGATGCTATCCCTGAACCACCCCAATAACAATGATGTATGTCAGTTGTAATTCACACGAGGGACACAGGAGAGGTCAGCAAAGCATGGTATATGTGCTGACAAGGAGCAAGCAGTCTCAGCTTGATGCTATCCCTGAACCACCCCAATAACAATGATGTATGTCAGTTGTAATTCACACGAGGGACACAGGAGAGGTCAGCAAAGCATGGTATATGTGCTGACAAGGAGCAAGCAGTCTCAGCTTGATGCTATCCCTGAACCACCCCAATAACAATGATGTATGTCAGTTGTAATTCACACGAGGGACACAGAATAGGTCAGCAAAGCATGGTATATGTGCTGACAAGGAGCAAGCAGTCTCAGCTTGATGCTATCCCTGAACCACCCCAATAACAATGATGTATGTCAGTTGTAATTCACACGAGGGACACAGGAGAGGTCAGCAAAGCATGATATATGTGCTGACAAGGAGCAAGCAGTCTCAGCTTGATGCTATCCCTGAACCACCCCAATAACAATGATGTATGTCAGCTGTAATTCACACGAGGGACACAGGAGAGGTCAGCAAAGCATGGTATATGTGCTGACAAGGAGCAAGCAGTCTCAGCTTGATGCCATCCCTGAACCACCCCAATAACAATGATGTATGTCAGTTGTAATTCACACGAGGGACACAGGAGAGGTCAGCAAAGCATGGTATATGTGCTGACAAGGAGAAAACAGTCTCAGCTTGATGCTATCCCTGAACCACCCCAATAACAATGATGTATGTCAGTTGTAATTCACACGAGGGACACAGGAGAGGTCAGCAAA